ATGATATAGTCTTGGATGATCTTGATTGAACTTTCATTTTCCTGCTTCCCAAGTACTTGAATCACACGTGTGTGCCACCATGCCTGGTTTGTGCAGAGTTGGGGATAGAGCTTTGTACAAGCTAGGCAAGCACTCTATAAACCAAAGCACATCTTGGTTTTTTTTCCCTATATTTTCCACTGAGACAAGGTCTCAATAAATTGTCTTGGTTGACCTTGAAGTTGCCCTTGAACTTGCCTCTTGTCTTAGCTTCCAGAGCAACCAGGAAGACACAATTTAAATACCAAACCTGTAATCCATTCTAAAGCCTCAAAATCCCCCATCAATAAACTGAAAGGATTTTATTTTCTTACAGACCTGCAATCTCTCTCTAGAGTCTCAAATCCCCAAAAATCAATTAATGGAAAGGATTTTGGTTTCTTACAAGTATGTGACAAACTCATCTGGCAACAAAATCTGACCGTAAGACCAGCAAGATGGCTCAAAGGGTAAAAGTGCCTGTCCATTGGCCGGATGACCTGAGGTCTCCTCTTTTTTTTTCTTTGGTTTTTCGAGACAGGGTTTCTCTATGTAGCTTTGTGCCTTTCCTGGAACTCACTCTACAGCCTAGGTTGGCCTCGAACTCACAGAGATCTGTCTGGTTTTACCTTTCGAGTGCAATTAATTCGAGTGGGATTAAAGGCATGCACTACCACCACCCAGCTTTGAGTTCTATTCTTAGCACCCACAAGGTGGGAGGAAAGAACCTGACTCACCAAAGTCCTGACTTCCACATGTGCACCATGGTAGTACATGTACACACACACTATAAAAATGATCTTTAAAAAAAACCTTGGTCTAGACTTCCTAAGATTACAAATATAATTTTTAATAATCTTGTTTAGTATCCCAATTTGTTTCACTAAAGAAATGTGTTGCTGGGTGGTGGTAGTACACACCTTTAGTCCCAGCACTCAGGAGGCAGAAGCAGAGGCAGGAGGATCTCTGTCAGTTTAAGGCCAGCCCAGCACCATTGAATAGCAACAACAATAAGGGAACATGCCCACAAAGATAAACAGGTCTGACTCAATCTGCCTGATTCATAACACTCTTTCTGCTCCCCAAGGCAGTCTCTAAATGGGAATGACAGACAGTCCACTGTTAAGAGGGAAGTCTAGAAGCCAGGGAAAAGGAGCAGCAGTCAAAAAGGATGATCAGACACCAACAGCACTCTTCTAAAGAATATAAAAAACCTGGCCAGTCAGTGGTAGCACAAGCCTTTAATCCCAGCACTTGGGAGGCAGAGGCAGGCGGATCTCTGTGAGTTCGAGGCCAGCCTGGTCTACAGAGTGAGTTCCAGGACAATGAGAGCTGTTTTGCTGTCAGAGCTGTCTCCAAAAACAAAAAAAAAAAGTAAAGCAGCAGAGACCACGGAGGAGTGCTGTTTATTGGCTTGCTCAGCTTGCTTTGTTATACCACCAAGGACTACCTGCCCAGGAGTGGCACCACCAATAGTAGCCAAGGTCCTCCTATATTAATCACTAATCAAAAAAATTAATTATAATAATCCCAGAGACTTGCCTCAGGAAACCTGATGGAGACAATTCATCAACTAAGGTTCCCTATTCCCAGATGACTCCTGCTTAGCCAAAGAACAAACTGCTGTAAGAGGACTTGGCTTGTGCCCAGTGCCCACAACTACAACTCACAACCCTTTAAAACTCCAGTTCCAGGGAATCATACACCCTCTTCTGGTTTCCTTGGGCATCAGGCACACACATGGTGCATGAAGACAAACAATCATACACACAAAAAAATAAATGCATCTTTTAAAAAAATCTTGAATGAGTAGCTGAAAGTCTTGCCTCTTCCTACAGGCCCTCAGTTACAAAATGAAGTTACAAAAAAAAAAAAAAATGAAGGTTTTTGGAATAAACACTGTTTCCCAAGGCCATCTCACAAACACCCATGATAAAATGACGCAAGATGTTTGCCTTTTTCTTAGATATTGTCTACCGCACTAAGAGAAGCATTTCTGAGACCTTCCTTATATCTGGGGAGAGGGGAAAGAAACCCATAAATGAAAACCCATAATACACAGTAAGAGCATACCTTAACACCTACCCTTGCTTTAAACTTTTTCACAAATTTATGTGTGTGTATCTCTGTATGTTTCTGCCTTAATGTATGTATACCTGAGCGCAGATGCCCAAGGAAGCCAGAGGCCATCAGATTCCGTGGAGCTAGAAGTAGAGGCAATAGTGAGCCCCCTGCGGGTATTGGAAACCTATCTTGGGTCCTCTGCAAGGGCAATACATGCTTTTGACTGTTGAGCCATCTCTCCTGTCCCCCGAAATTTTACCACATGCATTTATTGTGTGCATGTGTGCCACAGCATACGTGTGGAAGTTAGAAGACAATGTGCAGGAGTCAGTTCTCTTCTTCCACCGTGTGGGACCCAGGGAACAAACCCAGGTTGTCAGGCTTGGTAAGGGTTACTTACCATTGATCCATCTTGCCTACCTTAGCTTTTTTTTTTTTTTTTTTTTTTTGGTTTTTACGAGACAGGGTTTCTCTGTGTAGCTTTGCGCCTTTCCTGGAGCTCACTTGGTAGCCCAGGCTGGCCTCGAACTCACAAAGATCCGCCTGCCTCTGCCTCCCAAGTGCTGGGATTAAAGGCGTGCGCCACCACGCCCGGCGATTATCCTTAGCTTTTTAAAAGAACAGTTATGAAGTACACTTCAAGAGAACAGTAGACTGGGCAGTAACTTCAGGACCTACTGCCTTTCTCTGCTTCTAATCACAGTAATCTACCACTCTCTATCAAATCCAAACTCATTTCACTACCTACAAAGCCCCACACAATCTCTCTTCTTCGCACAACTTAACTGGATTTTCCTAAAATATCCCAACATTCCAAGTTAGTTTCTTAAAATTTTGCATTCTATGGGCTGGGGGGAAGGGGAGGGGGCGGGAGAAGGGAGAACAAGGGAATCTGTGGCTGATATGTAGAACCAAATTATATTGTAAAATAAAATTAAATTAAAAAAATTTTTTTTGCATTCTATTCCCTCTGCCTGAAATACTGTTCCCTCACTTGTGGTGATATATTGTGTATCAAATAAAACTTGCCTAAGGATCAGAGGACAGAGCCAGTCAGTAGATTAAACATAGAGGCCAGGCAGTGGTGCCACACGTTTAATCCTAGCACTGGAGAGGCAGAGAGCCATCCGGATATCTGTGAGTTCGAATCCACCCTAGACTACATGAGATTCAGTCTAGGAGAGAAAGAGAGCCAGACAGTGGTGGCACATACCTTTAATCCCACTATTTGGGAGTCACACGCCTTTAATCCCAGCATTTACGATCTCATGCCTTTGCTACCAGTATTTGGGAAGAACACATGCCTTTAATCCCAGCACTAGGAAGGAAGGCTGGGTGGAGAAAGGGATATAAGGCGTGAGGACATAGGAACTAGAAGCCCTTTCAGCTGAGGACCCAGAGGCATTCAGTCAGAGGAGTTGTGAAGCTGGCGAGGTGAGAAGTGACTGTGGCCTGCTCCTTTGTTTCTCTGATCTTTCAACATTTAGCCCAATTATCTGGCCCCGGGTTTTTATTATAAGACCATTTAGGATTCATGCAACACTCACTTTTCCCTGGATAGTCTCTACTCAAATGCCACCTACTCAGAGAAATTGTCTTCACCTGTCACTTTTCTGTCACTTGTCACTATCTGAAATAATCTAATCCGTGTTTTCCCAACTAGATTATGAGGTCCCAAAGAGAGAAACCTTGTCCATTTTTGTCCCTTCACTATATCCCCAAGGATTAAGTAGAATGAAGTTATTAAATAAAGCAACAAATCAATTCCACAATTGAGAGTACTGCTCTCACCCACCCAATCCCAGGTAGAGAATGGTTTCCCAAATCCCAACTAGAAATCAAAGTCAGAGAGGGAAAAAAAAAAATTCCTGTCTGCAAATGGAAAGGTGAGAAAGAGTTGAGTGTGGTAATCTACACTTGTAGAAAGAAGAATCTAAGGTCATCCTTTATCCAGAAGTGAGAAAAAGAAAACAAGGCCTTCCGTGTCTTCATGAAATAACCACAGGCGCATCCATCCTGTGGCCCGCATACATGGGACACAGCAACAAACAAGAAAGGTTACCCTCGAAGAGCTTACATCAGAGCAGAACACGAGAACAAACAACAGTAACAACTACCTATAAGGTCAATGCTATGGAAGAAGTAAAACTGGATGATGTGAACCGAGAAATGAAAACTGATGCCTAAGAGGGGAACTTCAAAGTCGGGGGGGTGGGGGCTCGCCAAGATCCAAGGCTAGCTGCTTCTAAGATCACAAAAGGTGGGGACTCCATGGCAGGACGGGACTGGGAATACTTAGGAAGAGCAGGTCGGCACGGCTACTGAGCCTTTGAGAGGGGATGGATGGGCAGCAGCTCAGGCGAGACCTCTGGCAAGCACAGCCAACAATCAGTGGAGCCTTCAAGCCACTTAACCAAGTGTGCGAGTGAAGAATCCTAAGTTTGAGGCGAGGCTGAAAATGCCATTTCAGTGGAAGAGATTGCTCCACACGAGCGAGAACATGGACCCACCCCCAGCATCACGTTGTTAAAACATTAAAATTTCCGTAGAGAGGCAACGGCTGGCTCTGAATCACGCTCCTAGGGAGAGACTAAGTATGAAAGAGGCCAGATTTGTGCCGGGCGGTGGTGGCGCACGCCTTTAATCCCAGCACTCGGGAGGCAGAGCCAGGTGGATCTCTGTGAGTTCGAGGCCAGCCTGGACTACCAAGTGAGTCCCAGGAAAGGCGCAAAGCTACACAGAGAAACCCTGTCTCGAAAAACCAAAAAAAAAAAAAAAAAAAAAAAAAGAAAGAGGCCAGATTATCCAGCTCGCCGCTGCGCCCCGGGGAGGGGAACCCCATTTGACTGCACGTTCGTTAAGTCCTAGGAGCACGAACGTCTCGGCCAGGGAGGACCCCGAGGCCCAGGCCCACTGTGATGGTGGCCGAAGACCCGCGAAACCCAAGTGGTGCGCTCCGGCCTCCTTCCACACCAGGGACCGGACCGGCTTGGCCAACTCAGGCCTCGGCGCCGAACACGGCTCACGCTGCGGGCCCCGGCGCGCCGGGAACGGACGCGCGGGCGCGACCAATCAGCGGCCGCCTAAGGAGCGCAGGGCGGCGGCGCGGCCAATCAGCGAGGCGCTGGAAGGGAAGGGGCGGGAGCTGGGGAGGCTCGCGTGAGGCCGAGCCTCCCGCTGCCCTGCTTCCCGGAGCGGTCGGGCCCAGCCCTGAGGCGGCGTGCGGGGAGGCCCCGGCGCGCGGCCTCAAGCAGGGGCCCGGGCCCACTTCCCAGCGCCCGTCCCCTCCCTCAGCCGCGGCCCCCCAGTCACTCTGCTCACTCCATGCCTCACCTCGAGGGGACACCGAGACCGAGAAGGGAACCCTAGGCGAGAGCTGCAGCCGACCGTACCCACTCCTGCCGCTGCTCCGCCTCACATTCAAACCCCGGCAAAATGGCGCGGCGGCAAAGGTGGCGGCCACGGCGCATGTGCAAGCGAGGCCGAGACTCGGGGCGGGGCCAGGGATGCTTTGGGTCCCACCCTGGCTTGAAGGGCCAATCGGAACCCCGCTCTGGTCTGCGGTGACGTCACAAGAGACCATGCCCTTTGACGCAGGTTGCTGGTTTGGATTTCTTTGCGCAGACCGTGGCAGGTGTTCCAAGAGGCTCCTAGTGGCTTTTAACTCTTGGATGGATTATGCTCGTCCCCGCCAGAGAAGGGAGAGACCGTCCATTCTAGGACAAGCAGAATAACCGAATGAGTAAGAATTTCAAGCAGAGGGATAGCTCGGTTTGGTTAAGGGATAGCTGCGCAATTAAGAAGGCATGAGTTCGAATCCCCAGCAGCCACATAAAAGCCAGCCTGGGGCTGCCTGATTGTAATCCCGAATCTGGGAAGGCAGCTATGGGAAGATCCCTGGGGCTAATTGGATAGCCAGTCTAGCTAATCGGTGAGCTCCTGTTTCCATGAGAGATCCTGCCCCAAAAACTAAGGTAGAGAGGAATTGAGGAATAAGCGCGTGTGCGCGCGCGCGCGCGCGCAATTTTAGAAGCCTATAAGGATTTCAGAAGCATGTCAAACATGATAGCACATGCTTGTTATCACTTGGCACGTAGGAGGCAGAGGCAAGAGAATCACCATATATTTGAACCCAGTGTGGTTTACAAAGTGAATGTGAGGCCAGTTAGAGCTAGGGAGTGAGATCCTTTCTCAAAATATTTTTTTTCAGATGATGTAACCGGTGGCAACTTGAAGATAACTGGGATGAACAGGGGAAATTTTACTTTTTCATTCAAAAGCCAGGAGAAGCCAGGCGGTGGTGGCACACACCTCTAATCCCAGCACTCGGAGGCAGAGCCAGGCGAATCTTTGTGAGTTCAAGTCCAGCCTGGTTACAAAGTGAGATCCAGGACAGGCTCCTAAGCTACACAGAGAAACCCTGTCTCGGGAAAACAAAACAAAAACAAAAGCCAGGAGAGAGCTGAGTGAACGGCGGCCTGGCCAGCACTGGGGAGAACAGTGAAGGCTGGGAAGTCTGCTTAAGCTAGACTTGGAACTAGTGAAATGTAATAAGAAAAACAGGGCCAAATGAGGGGGCCTCAGCAGCCAGCTCAGCTCGCTTTCTCCGTCCCTCCCAGCTCCAAGCTTACCGCACAGCATTGATACTTGCACTTTCCTCTGCGTGGCCGCTCTTCCAGATCCAATGATGGCTGGCTCCCTTTGCATTTGGTTGCAGAGCAATGACAGCTCCCCAGGGACGCTTTACCACTCTCTGAAACTGCCCACTTCACCTTAACTTTAACCCAACAGCACACCATTTGTCCAGTAAAAGACAGGCTGCCCAACTTGACATGAATTTCAGGGAACGAACTCTTATTTTTAATAATAGATACCATCTGAGAACACTGCTTTGTTTATGTAAGGTCCTATTAAACTGGGCATTCTGTATCTTTTGTTTGTTTTTGTTTTTCCAGACAGGGTTTCTCTGTGTAGTGCTGGCTGTTCTGGAACTTGCTCTATTGACCAGGCTGGCCTCAAACTCAGAGATCTGCCTGCCTCTGCCTGCCAAAGTGCTGGGATGAAAGGTGTGTGCCACCACTGCCCAGCTGAGAATTCTGTATCTTATCTAGCAGGCTTGATTTCATTATTAGGATTCTGCTACTCCTCCAGCTATGTGACCACACATGCGCAGTTCAATAGCTAAGCAAGGGGTCATACATACATCATCCTTCCTACAACATCAGTGCACTGTGCGATTACACAAATTCGCGCAGGGCGGTCACGCAATCAGCACATATGTGGAGTAGCTCCATAAGCCCACCAGAGCATGTGCAGGAAAATCCTTAAAAATCCAGTCACGCCGGGTGGGGGTGGCACATGTCTTTAATCCCAGCACTCGGGAGGCAGAGGCAGGCAGATCTCTGTGAGTTCGAGGCCAGCCTGGGCTACCAAGTGAGTTCCAGGAAAAGCGCAGAACTACACAGAGAAACCCGTCTCGAACAACAAAAAAGACAAAACAAAAAGCCAGTCACAGACTCCTCCCCTCTCTTCTGCTCTCTCCTCTGCCCCCACTGTCTCTCTACCTGCACGTCTTTCACAGGCCTGGTCATCCCCCCCCCCGCCCCCACACCCCCAAATAAAGCTCTGATACTGGGTTTTGTCTTGCCTCGTGACCTTTCTCACACGGTAACAAGAGCTGCATTTAAAACCAACAATTACATCATTCTGAGTTAAAATGTTTTTAAATGTTTATTTATGTAGGGGAGGGGTACGCGGGTGCCATGGTGCGTGTGTGAAGGTCAGAGTACACTAGTGAGAGTCAGTTCTGTCCAGCTTGCGGGTTCCAGGGGTTGAACTCAGGTCCTCAGTCTTGGCAGCGAGTGCTGTCACCCTCAGAAACAGCCCCCCTTATGCTTTCTGTCTGGCATTTATAAGTCTCTGCAATTAATATCAGCCACCAGCCTGTGGGGCGTTTACCCACCATCCCCACAGTTCCCCAGAGTTTTCTTGAGTGCGAGCAGCAGGAAATATTAGATAGAAGGATTTACAGCAGAGAATCTTGTGGAGATAAACAGATAGAAAATAAAGGATAGCCTCGAGAGGGCCTGGAACCTATTCCAACGGGCCCC